CAAACTAACATGCTTTTTAATTTTGTCCCTCTTTTTGTTCTGGCTATCTAAATAAAAGCAATCCATGGGAGGTGGACGGGTGGTTGAAGTTCTTTTTGTTGGGTGAGTTTCTTTAGAAATTAAAATGAAGATTATATTCTTCATTCATGTCTCTTTAATGTGCCAAAAGATTTTTTTAAAAAAATCAAACTTTCTTTTTCAATGAGTTAATCTTTTAGGCTACAACTTGGGTAGCTAGGGGCTAGTGCTCACACAAACTTGTTAAAGTTTTCTACTTGGCTAGTGGACAGTCAATTACTTATTTATTGTAAGTTTGTGGAGTAAATAATCTTCCTTCAGTTCTATTAAATAAACATTGATTTCTCTAACATGTGCTTTGATTATAGGTTAGGAATGTTTTAAATGCAATTTTTACTTTTTATCTTTTGATACGTACATGGTAGGGATTGAATTTTAAATGTATAACTAAAAGTATAAGTAAGTGTATCATTAGATTATATGATTAATGGCGAAATGTACATTTTTATGAGTTAATTCATGTAAGAGAATAAAAAAAGTTAGTATTAATTAATTTTAATATTCATATATCACATAAATATTTTTTAATTAAACAATTGATAAAAATAATGTTAGCTTTTATTTTTTGAATGTATATTATTGATAAAAAGAAATAACAAATACACTCTTATTCTATATTTTAAAACACATATTAGGTAAATTCAATAAATAATTCATTTTAAAACAAGGATTTTTTTAATCATATATCTTTAAGACATAGGTTAAAAAAACAATAAATATACATTTCTATAATTAATTTTTATTAAAAGAACTTAAAACATATGTTAGAAGAACCTTAAAAGAATTTGAATTGAAAAAAAAAAAAAGAAGAAGTGAAAATCAGGTCTTGGTATCTAGAGATCAAGACTTTCTTTTAAATTATTTAAATATTTTTAATAATTTTTTTTTGCTTTTGAGTCTCTTCTTACTATTCTTGAGATTTTAATGATAAGGAACAAACTAATTTTTTGTAATTGCTATTGTGATTGTAAAGGGAAAATAATATATATATATATATATGAAAAATACATATTAATTTTGACTTTAAAAAAGTTGAAGTTTTAAAATTAAAATATATCATTTTATTTATGAGATTTTAATGATAAGGAACAAACTAATTTTTTGTAATTGCTATTGTGATTGTAAAGGGAAAATAATATATATAT